GACTACGGGCTCGCAGCAGGTGCTCATAGCCAGCACCGCAGCTAGGAAGAATGCCACGGCGCCTAGCTTGTGCGCAACTATTGGTGTCAACGCGTTGGCCTATAGTCCAGCGGGCTTTCGCCGAAAACTGGCGCCGGCGAAGTTGCCCTCAAAAGTCATATATGAAATGGTCACGGCCAAGCAACGGGCACCGACGTGACTGCAGTTCAGCGTCAAGAGCCGAGAAACGACAGAACGTGCACGAACACCGATCATCAGTCAAGCCGATGCCTGCAAGCCAACGCAGCAAACCGCCTCGCCTGACCATGGCAAAGACGGCTGCCGAATTCTCGTTGTCAAACTGAGAACATCTGCCGATCATTCGGTTTGTCCAGATTTCGATGAATCACCATGGACGGCGACTGCAAACCAATTGTAAGACAATGTTTGGCTGAGGCAGCTCGGCGGCTATTTGTGAACATTTCCATGTGAATGCGTTAAAAACGGTTCGAGTCAAATCCGCAAAGCCAGCGAATGCAACGGAAACGAAGAAAGACTGGTGTGGGTCAGCGAACAAATTCCTCAACAGTAGAGCTTAACGGTCGCAACGCCACCGCCTCATCGGTGTCATCACTTGCAGAGGTACGGTCAGTTAGCTATGATCACTCGATCAGTTAGCTGTTCGCCATCCTGCAGTGAGAGCATGACTCATGAATATGAGGTAAACACGAAAAGCCGCCCTCTCAGCCAGTCTGCTTCCTCTCCTATTCTCGCTTTCATTTTTTCTTGACGCAACCGCTGGCACTGAACACGTCGGTTGAATGTCCTAGTTCCTCACCGTTAGCTGTGGTCATCTGTGTTCTGCAAAACGTACGACGCAACGCTACAACATGCACTCTCATGGCCGTCACCGCCGAAGCCGAAGCAGCGATCAATCGGCCGGGTGCACATCTTTTTCGAGAAAGCTACTACGGGCGTGATGAATTGAATCAATCACCGGATGATGGCTAACGCGTTTCACTTCATAACGCGTTAGCTGCCGCACTGGCCCCCATCACCATTGCTAGCAGCGCCGGCCAGTGGTCAGCATGCACTGAACCAGAAACACAAATGGACAGATTTCGAAGGCGCAAAGCATCATTGGCCAACCGAAACGAAACACCACTTGGCCGGAACAACCAGCGACGTCTAGAGAAAGATGTTGAGAAACCGCTTCAGGCTATTCTGTCATTTCGTCGAATTAAACGCTAACCAGCAAGCGGTACAGAAGCAATGACGACGACACTTGGCAAAATACGCTCTGTCTTGGTCTGGTGATCTGTTGGCCAAAGGAGCTATCAAGCAGTCAATTGTCGATGAACATTCCCTGCCGATCAACGCTCGAATCAGCAGCGCCGAACTTCGAAGACGAAAAACGTTCTCTTTGCAACTTCTAGTGGATATACGAACGATTTTAGCTTAAGTGGCCTGATCGTTAAGAATTCATAAACCGCCACGTACCCCTGCCACCGGCCATGTACCAATCTGCTTACAACGGCGGCGATCAAACGATCGCCAGTGGCACGTCTATACACGTACGGGGCAAAGACACTGACGCAGACAACATGTGCAACGTAATATGTGAAATGTGTCCTATCGACCGATGATCACATTCGTTAACTGCTGCTACTTCTTAGCCTGGCTATCGATCCGCAATCTGCGTGCGAGACAGCGTCGCGGAACGAGCGAACGCACGCGACAGGCCAACAACAAGGGAGACAACCTTACGGGGGACACGGACAAGCAGACCGTTATCACTCAGTCGACCGATCGCAGCGACCAAGTCGTAGATCATGGCCATGGCGGCCATCCGGTCCGTCACCTTGACACATCATTCGGATCGACAGTTCCACTCACCATAGCACAGAGATGCGATGCGGTGCAAGTGGCAGCGATGCAGCGACGATTTGTCACGCGGATCCGCACCGCGGCATGACAAATCTGATTTCCCTCACGCGCGCCGATCGCCGCCTCCTCTCCACTGCAGATATATCGCACGCATTAATCAAACGCAAGCAAAATCTATCGGCTTTATTCGTTACTAGCTGCATACCGACTGGGATTCCCATGGGCGATTTGCGCACATCGTCCGTCCAATAATCGTGACTCGCTGGCTATTGCTGGACGTTAGCTG